CACAATCATCCTGAATCTAAAGATGAGACGCTAATGGGCCTCATTAACATGGAGACATTTTAGTCCTGATTTTGTGCACAACACTACAGTGATACATCTGCAGGGCCTTCATAAATCTACGCTGAACAACTCCCACATTCCGTCCAGTATTGAGGCTAATTTGTGTCCCTAAACATTTGTTGTCCTTCACACACAGAGACAAAATGTCTTCAGCCACAGGTGACAGGATTGGAAATAGAAAGGGAACTGTTTCCCTTTGCCTTGGATCCCAAATAGCTCCCTTGGGTACAGAAAGTCTTTGTGTCCTTGATAAGCAGTCACTGACCCTGCCAACCTGCCTGTGTTTGTTTGTTTGCTGTTGCTTCTCTCTCTTCTATCCACTCCTCCAACCAGTCAAAGCAGATGGCTGCTCACCAAGACCCGGGGTCTGTCAGATGTTTCTTTCATTAAAGGGAGTTTTTCCTCCCCACTGTTACCAAGTGCTTGTTTTAAGGAGGATTTCTATAATACTTTAAGGTCTAAATATTACTATGTAAAGGCCTTGAAGTGATTTTTCTTTGTTGTGGTTTGGTGCTATATAAATAAAATTGAATTGAATTGAACTGAAAATTTGGAAACTTTGAAACCTTTGGCTGACACTGATACTGATTAAACTGTGCTTCTCCTTGTTCACAGGATACAGACCTACTGGATATAGCATACATAAAAGATGCCAGGAATGGAAAGTGTACCAAAATGCCAAAGGTAAGCACATCATTTGCTAATTTGAATTGGTTGCCCAAATGTGAAAATGTGTTGATTTAGATGCCTTCTGGTTGTTTAATGTCTGTGTAATATTACCTATTGATTCAGGAATCACATTTATAGGATGTTCCTGGTTTTGTCTGCTGAGACCCTGGGAACACAATGAACAGTGTACTGATAGGACAGAGGAGGACTTTGGGTGATGATATGCTTTGTAAGGGTTTACTTTTGCACAAAAATGAAAGACATGAGTGGGTGTGAGCCCGACCCTGAATCAGACACAGCCTGCATCCATCTAGCCAAGAACTTGTTATGTGGACCATTTGAATTGGTTCAAGTGGTTACAGTAATTGACATTTAAACATAGAGTGCCTGTGCTCATATCTGCAGATGCACATACAGAGATGGCAGTAGTTCTTTTGTTCTTTTGTTTCTAACCCCTCAGAATTTGTGTTCAGGTTGTTATTGACTGATATGTATTTGTGTATTGGTGTAGGTGAAGTCTCTGGTTTCTTTTCATGACCCATCTGCACATGTTTCATGTAGTTTTTAGGGACTGATTGGGGACAAAAACAAGAAAAGAGGATCAAATGACACTCAACATTGATACAAACATGATTTAAAAACATGGTTTCAATTCAAACCCACATGGTAACAGTACATGGATTGTTTCCCAGGCTAACAAGCCAGTCCAGGGTATCCAAATTACTATTTCACAACTAATTAAAACATTGTTGACTGTGAGTGATGAGGGAAGAATTTGTACACACACTTTTTTTTATTCTGGCACACTGCAACTGTCAAGAATTTGGCACATTCTGGTGCAGTTACAAAGCCAACCTCAATTCTCGCAGTTAATTTCCCACTTATCAAGTGATGATCAGAACTGTAACCGGCATTCTTACCCAATCTCTTCTCATACAGTATAATTATTATAGTTTTATATAGCTTTTGGATGTAGTCAGTCTTGTGATGTTTTTACATAGCAGTGGCAATATTAATCAGTTTGACTTGATGCAGCAGGAGAAGTGAGCAGGGGCCGTGAACCGCTGCTCTATCTGGGGAGTGACTTATGATGGAACGAGTACAATAATGCAGAGAGGATTCATGCATTTCTAAACAGCTTACAGAATGATGCTGCCCAGGGAAGAGACATGACCACATGACAGGTAGGAAGGTCAAAGTATTGGAAATCCATTACTCGGAGATGGAGCGGTGATGCACCCTGGGCATTATAATGGGAGCACTGGTGAGACACAGTGTCTGAGGAGTTGATGAGATGAAGAACGCAAGCGAGGAAAAGAGAGATAGATGGGGGTGGGGGAGGGATGATATGAGACAGTGGAATGAGAGGATAGAAAGCAGATAGAAGACAAGGGAAGGCATGCAGAGTTTTTTATATAAGGTCTGTAGAAGGCAAGTGAAGGGATGAGAGAAATGGAGGAAGGACACAGAGATGATGTGAGGTCAAAGGAAGATGTCAGGTGAAAAGTACTGATAACAAAAGACAGCACTTGCTTTCTGCTCAAGTATTTCTCTTTTTGCTTCGTAGGCATCTTGTCAGAATGGTGAAGGATCAAGTATCACAGCACTGTTAGGCCCTGAACAGATCGAAAGTGTTTTATCAGCTTTTTGTAATTGTTTTCAACAAGAGAGTAGTGTTTTGCTCACTGCTTTTGCACTGCTGAGCACCTCGCACCCCAAACGCCTCCAGTTGAAAACTCAGTGCCGACAAGCACCCGACATAATTGCTGTTTTTTTTTCCATTGTCCAACCAGATGAATTGAGAGGTGATCATTCTGTGATGGTGACCTGAAATATAATGCTGGCCTACCACAGACAAGGTCTCACCTGCTCAGCAGAACAGATGGACTGCGTCGTGTTTGGTCATTTTGGTGATACAAAGCCAACAATTGACAATAGATTGTCCCCAATTCATCCTAAAATAGCCTCGAAGCCACCATCATCTGTGATCTGTCCTCTTTCTGAGGGAGTCCTATATTTTTTTTGTTTAATATTGCCTGTTGAAAACAGCTTCTCCTCCTCAATCTGAGCCAGAGCGAGTGCCCTCCAACTGTCCTTTTTTTGCTTAGATAAGAAAATAAAAAAATAATTATAACATTTTAATGTTATATAAATGCTGAAGGCTAATATAAACATTTAAATAGGCTAGATGATTAAATGACAGTTAGGCTAAGGACAAGCTGCTCTTTCTTATACAACAACAAAACTCACGTTTTGCAGTGCTCTGTTTGACTGGGGCCTTAAATATTTTTATTCCAGTCAAACTAAATTATGTTATGTGGAATTGTTGAAAACGCAATACAGATATAGTCAAGGTTGTGTCTGCTGTAAGTAAATGAGAGAGTAAAATTAATGGAAGTGGATCATGAAAGAAATTCCTTTTTTTTTTAGGACCATTTCAATTCACAGCAGTCTCAAAACCCCTGTTGGTTTTATATTTACAGTAATGCTCTCTGCTACTTATAGCTCATATTACTCCTTCTGCTCTTACTCAGAGGCTCCTCTGGTAGCAGGCATTCATTCATTCAAAAACCAGCACACCTATCAAGATAAGATGAGATGTTGGACTCACGATGACATGTCTGTAAAAAGCTCCAGAAGTGCTTTCACTGTGCCCCTCAAGAGTTCTGTGTCTTTGAGCTGAATATTGTCTGACTCAGACACAATCATTCTCAACAGACGGGCTTGAAATAGGCTCCAGATGGAGAGGCTGGCTTGGTTCATCTCTTTTGAGCTCTTGTTTCTCCTCTTGCACAAGTTACTTCATGCTATCTTTGAGCTGTATAGGAATTTCTGTCTGAGCGTCATTAAGATTTGGAGCACGCTGCTGTGTTCATCAGTTCGTCGAAGTGGGTGGGCGGCTTGTTTGACCCTGACTAGAGGCTCCAGCTACTCAGTTAGCTATTCAGCTACTCAGATTAGTATGTTTTCCCTCTGAAGACACACGCAGAGAACACAGATACATTTGATAGTGAGGAACACTCACTATCGTTTGCACACCGTGAACACTGCCCTGACTAGAATAACAAAGTAGAACAAAACTGTGTCCTTTGTTCTTCCACACTCAGACTGCTGATGCTAATTAGCATGTGTCTGACCCATCATCATTCAGTATGATTAGATTGGCCTCTTGTCAGAATGACAAGATGCAACCTTTGTTTGACGAGTGGCTCCAGAAATAAATTGCACACCCTTAGGTCTGGTGGGCAAAGCACAGCACTAATAATCATCCACTTCATATACCCACAAATAGCTGGTAGAAATGCCATGTTCGGCACAGAGGAGAGGGGGCATAAGGCTAATACAAACATTTCCTGTTGCTTCTAAATCTTTTTGGCCACTTTCTTTACATCTTTTTGTGAAGTATGCAAAGTGTGGCAACAAAGTATCAGTTTCATTTTGGCAGCAGTACTGTTTTTTTTAAATAGTAAAAACAAAACAGCATGGTAACAAGATAAGACATTTACAATAGAATGTAGGGAAGCTTTACATGTGGTTTGTGTGTGAGTAGAGTTGAGGAAGAGAAGGGGCTAAAAAAATAAGGATGGAAAGAAAGAAAAATGAAAGATGGAAGGAAGGAAATATAAATATCCAGAGTGGCCCAGCAGGGTAGGGTCAGCCTGGGCAGTGATATTGTTGTTTTATGGTTATAAAGTTGGATCATTCCTCTGCTTTATTGTTTATCATGATTTAATTTGACTGTTGAAAGTAGTTAAGTTGCTCAGCGTTGCTCCCTGAACTGACAGGAGAGAGCTGACCCGTTGCATGATATGATCCACTCCTAAACAGCTCCCAGACCCTGAGGACAAAGCTTGTCTGAGACAGGGTTGAGTAGTTGAGTGAAGGATAACAGTGACACACACACACACACAACCCACCACTGAGGATCCCCCCATATCGACCTCCAACGACAGTGGTACTTCTGCTATCAGCTTGATGAACATGGATTTGTTTTGTTTTTTTCTGCCCGTGTATTGTTTTGTAACATTTTGCTTATCTCAAAATGATTACAAAAAGCCAATATACTTAAAGCATGCAGAAAAGATGCTGGACAAAAGAATTATCAAGGTTCTATTTACAGTAGATTATTCATTCCTGGACCACCTGAAATTTCATGGATGTTCACTTTCCTTGGTATTTTCTAACTTGAAAAGTCTGAAAGAACTAAAACAGGATCATGGCAGCAAACAGTTTTCAAGTTCCATATCCAAAATCACTAAAATGGAGGCACAAATAAACCAAAAAAAGACTGAAGAAAAAACATTTTTACCAAAGCAAATCATTGGTGTACTCCATCCCTTTGTTGCAGTAAGAATATTTTAAGCATTTGGAGGTTAATGTAAATAATTGAAAGGAAAAGCAACAAACATATACTGACATCAGTGCATGTTCTTGTTTTACATGTTAAAGCCCCTGGTCACTGTATCAGGACTCACTCTTCCACAGGACTCACTCTTCCAAACCATCTATTCATAATACCATTTTAGTGAATCAGTCAGTTTGCTCCTTATCCTTTTCTCCAACACTAACCAAAACAGCTAAAGCCAATCGCATCTGCCATCTCTGGTGAAGCTTCTATATAACTGAAGTGTGTTCGGATAACCTCTGCTTTCCCCCGTGCTTCGTTCTGTCTCCTTGCACACTGTGAGGACTGCCTCTGTCATCCTGCATTTTGGAAGTGTTCTTCTGACTGAATTGTTCTTTCTTAGCAGAACTGAGAGTAGGAAAATGCAATCAGCATCTCACTATGGTGCTTGCAGTAGAAGTCTGACAGACAAAATTATATTCATCCTTTCTGTTAGAGAACCAAACAGATCTCTGTCTGTAAAATGTCCTGCTTGTACTTGGTGCCTGTGTAACTCAGGCTGTAATATACATCTTGAAATCTGAAGACTTTAATGATTTAGTACTGCAGACTTCATTCCTAGGTTTGTCCATATTTTATAATGGAAGTAAGATATCAAGCACAACCTGTA